AAGACGGAGGGATGAATCACACTCACAGGTTTCCAGTGCTCCGGGGGCCAAGGGAAGACAGACTAAGGATGATGAGGATGGCCAGAGTCTGAGAGATGATGACAAAGACAAATGACGGCACAAATGCGAACAGATGCCTGATCATAAAACCCAGAGACGCAGATTCATCTGACATCTACCCTGAAGCTGTTATCTGCCACTGTCACCTACCAGAGCCACAACCAGTCTCTCTAAGCCCATATATTCTGAACACATTTACAACTTCCAATTGCACACATTAAGATGAAGCAGCGGCCAAGTAGGTCTCCAGAGGAAAACGCTTTCTAAGGAGTGTTTAAAAGCTCCGGGCTGTTCCCTTAATCATCCAACAGCAAGACCAATGAAACAATCAACCCCGAGACTATGGAACTTGATGACAAACCCTTCTCCTGCTAAAAATTATGAATCTTAGTTACAATGCCACTGTGTCCTGTGATGTACGGAAGACAGACTAACCTTACAACAGGAAATTGAAAATGGGCCCACTCGTTCTGAGTAATGGTCCATGTAACTGACATGACGAAGCAGCCGGGGCGTGTGGGTCATCTGTAATTCTGAGAAGAGCCATGCTAGTGTGGCTGAGATTGATGAATACACCACGAAAATGATTTCTGATAAAATGCTTGGAAATTTCTTTTCAATAGGACTTAATACTGATATAGAGTATGTGGTGGAGGCTTTGCTTCAGGTCTTTTTTGTTTCATTTTACTTTAGCTCTGGGACACGTGTGCAGGATGTGCAGGTTTGTTACACAGGTAAACATGTGCCATGGTGGTTTGCTCATCTATCAGCCCCTCACCAGCATGCATTAGCTATTTTTCCTGATGCTCTCCCGCCGCCCCCAACCCGACCCTCCCTGACAGGCCCCAGTGTGAGTTGTTGCCCTCCCTATGTCCATGTGTTCTCATTGTTTAGCTCCCACTTATAAGTGAGAACGTGTGATGTTTGGTTTTCTGTTCTTGTGTTAGTTCACTGAGGATAATGGCTTCCAGTTCCATCCATGTCCCTGCAAAGGACATGATTTGTTCCTTTTCATGGCTGCATAATATTCCATGGTGCATGGAATATTATGCAGCCATAAAAAACGATGAGTTTGTGTCCTTTGTAGGGACATGGATGAACCTGGAAACCATCATTCTCAGCAAACTGACAGAAGAGCAGAAGATCAAACACCACATGTTCTCACTCATAGGCAGGTGTTGAACAATGAGAACACATGGACACAGGGAGGGGAGCACTACACACTGGGGTCTGTTGGGGGGAACAGGGGAGGGACGGTGGGGGGTGGGGCGTTGGGGAGAGATAGCAAGGGGAGAGATGCCAGATGTAGGTGATGGGGAGGAAGGCAGCAAATCACACTGCCACATGTGTACTTATGCAACAATCTTGCATGTTCTTCACATGTACCCCAAAACCTAAAATGCAATAAAATAAATTAAAAAAAATATTCCATGGTGCATATGTACCACATTTTCTTTATCTAGTCTATCACTGATGGGCATTTGGGTTGATTCCATGTCTCTACTTTTGTGAATAGTGCCACAACATACATACGCATCCATGTATCTTCATAACAGAATGATTTATATTCCTTTGGGAAATACCCAGTAATGGCATTGCTGGGTCAAATGGTATCTTTGTAGAATTGCCACACTGTTTTCCAAACTTACATTCCCACCAACCGGGTAAAAGTGTTCTTATTTCTCCACAAGCTCACCAGCATCTGTTGTTTCTTGACTTCTTAATAATTGCCATTCTGAATGACATGCAATGTTATTTCATTGTGGTTTCCATTTGCAGTTCTCTAATGATCAGTGGATGATGAACTTTGGTTCATATGTTTTTTGGCTAATGTATGTCTTCTTGTTTCAAGGCTTTAGCATGAAAACAGACTTGAGGTGTCTTTCTGTTGGCAGAGGGCAGAGAATTGATTTTGCAACTTCAGTCTCTTCTTAGAAGTTTGCAGGAGGAGACTGGGCATGGTGGCTCAAGCCTTTAATCCTAGCACTTTGGGAGGCTGAGGCAGGCAGATTACTTGAGGTCAGGACTTCAAGACCAGCCTAGCCAACATGGTGAAACCTCATTTCTCCAAAAATACAGAAAATTAGCCAGGTGTGGTGGAGCGCACCTGTAATACTAGCTACTCGGGAGGCTAAAGCAGGAGAATTGCTTGAACCAGGAGATGGAGGTTCAAGGTAACAAGATTTTACAGAAATTGACAAGTTGAGCCCCAAATTTAAATTGATATTCAAAAAAACGAGAATAGTTAAAATATTTCTGAAACAAAGTTATTGACTAACACTACTTCGTTTCTAGACTTACTATAAACCTACAGCAACAAGACAGCATGGTACTGGAATAAAGATAGACATAGATAATGAAACACCACAGTCAACTGACTTTCAACAAAGGCATCAGAGCAATTCAATGGGCAAAGAAAAACATTTCCAATAAATGATGCCAGATCCATCTGGATATTGTTAAGAAAAATAAAACAAAACAAATTTTGATCCCTACCTCATACCACACACAAAAAGTAATTTTACATGGATTTATAATCCTAAATGAAAGAGATACAGCACCAAAACTTCTAAAGACATTAAAAGAAAAAGAAAGAAGAAAGAAAGAAAGAGAGAAAGAAAAAGAAACAAAGAATGAAAAAAAGAAAGAAAGAAAGAAGGAAGGAAGGAAGGAAGAAAAGTGTGAACATAAAAGAAGTAAAGAATTTGTAGACAGGACTCAAAAGCACTAACCATCAAAGAAAAAAATTTGATAAACTAGACTTCAACAAACTTTAAAACTCTTCCGCTCTTCAAAAGAGGTGGTTAAACAAATGAAAATACAAATGAGAGAATGGGAGAAAATATTAATGATATATTTATCTGACAAAAGGCTTGTACCTGGAATATAAGGAAGTTCTACAAACCAGTAATTAAAAGACACACACAATTGGCTAGACACTCACAAAACATGATACATGAATGGCCAGTGTGCATATAAAAAGATGCTGAACAAAATTAATCATCATGGAAATGAAACGTAGAATGACAATGAGACACCATTTCATTATCTCCCTAGAAAAATTAAAATTAAAGACTGTTGGCCAGGAGCAGTGGCTTACGCCTACAATCCAGCACTTTGGGGAGGCCAAGGCAGGCAGATCACCTGAGGTCACGAGTTTGAGACCAGCCTGGCCAACATGGTGAAACCCCATCACTACTAAAAATACAAAAATCAGCCAGCAGTGGTGGTAGGCGCCTGTAATCCCAGCTACTTGGGAGGCTGAGGAAGGAGAATTGCTTGAACTTGGGAGGTGGAAGTTGCAGTGAGCTGAGATTGTGCCATTGCACTCCTGCCTGGATGACAAGAGCAAGACTTCATCTCAAAAAAAAAAAATACTGTCTACTCCTTTGGTGAATGAGAATGCAGAGTAACTGAAGCTCTTGTCAGTTTCTGTGGAAGTGTAAGAGGGCACACCTTGGAGAACTGTTTGGGTATTTTTTATGTTAATCACATAGTGAAGCTATTTGACTTAGAGGCATTTGTCCAAGAGAAGTGCAAATGTAGGTCACCAAAAAAACTTTGCACAAGAATACTCATAGTAAATTTATTTGTAATGGTTAAAAATGGAAAACAATCACGCCTGTAATCCCAGCACTTTGGGAGGCCGAGGCGGGTGGATCAGGAGGTCAAGAGATCGAGACTATCCTGGCTAACACGGTGAAACTCCGTCTCTACTAAAAATACAAAAACATTAATCGGGCATGGTGGCACATGCCTGTAGTCCCAGCTACTCGGGAGGCTGAGGTGGAAGAATTGCTTGAACCCAGGAGGCGGAGGTTGCAGTGAGCCGGGATTGAGACACTGCACTCCAGCCTGGTGACAGAGCAAGACTCCATCTCAAAAAAAAAAAAAAAAAAAAAAGGAAAACAAGCCAAAAGTTCATCAATAGAAGAGATAAATAATTTGTGATCTATGGAATAGAATACTCCACTTTGGTGAAGTTCAAGAACAGATGAAACTAATGTAAGATAAGAAAAACTAAACTAGGAGTCGCCTATAAATAGGAATTAAATATGGAAGAGGGCCTGAGAAAACTTTCTTGAGTGGTGGAAATGTTATCTTGATTAGGGTATTTGTCACATGGGTATATACATTTGTCAAACATTTACCTAATTTTATACTTGAGAACTCTGCATTTCACTACATACAAACTTCAGAATTTCTTTTTTTAAAAAGGATGAGTTCACTCTATTCTACTGACAAAATGAGCAAAGAAGGCAGGTTAGAGTGGTAAGCGAAGCTTGATTTCATTTTTGTCTTTTAAAAATCATTATTTACATGTAGAATTATTGAGTAAGATTGTATCAAACATTAATAGCAGTTCCTTTTTGGTGCTGAAATTTCAAATGATTTAAATTTTTGTTGCATTTTTGGGCCGGGCATGGTGGCATATGCCTGCAGTCCCAGCTACTTGGGAGGCTGAGGCAAGAGAATCGCCTGAACCTGGGAGGCAGAGGCTGCGGTGAGCTAGATCACACCAATGCCCTCCAGCCTGAGCAAAAGAGCGAGACTCCATCTCAAAAAGAAAAAAATTGTGTTGCATTTTCTGGTATTTTCTCATTTTTCTACAACGGTAATTTAATTATATGTGTAATTAATAAAGTAAAATAAAATGAACACATGAGGTTGTTATAAAGAACAAATGTCACAGGAAATGATACTGAAAATTTGGGAAGGAGGTGCTAAAAACAGCATCGGAAAGGCCCAGAGCCCCTCTTTGGCCTTCTAGCCCTGCTGTTCCTCAAAAAGATAAAACCACTCCTGAAGTTGTAGACAGAGGAAAATTCACCTTGTTCTCCCCGACAGCCACTTTTTCAAAACCACATGAACGTAAGGTGCTCCTGAAACTAACTGCCAAGAAGTACTTCATCGAAATCCTCTAAGATTTCATATCTCACCTGAACGTTGAAGAAAGGTATTCCAGTTAAAGGCGGCGTTTGGTGTTGTTGCAATTCCTGGGTCAAAGAAACAATGAAAGGAAAGTTCACTTTGATGCAACTGCTGAAATACAACCAATGATTTTGTGTTGAGGCTTATTATTATTCTTATTTCTGAGACAGAGTCTTGCTCTGTTGCCCAGGCTGGAGCACAGTGGCATGATCTTGGCTCACTGCAAACTCCTCCTCCCAGGTTGAAATGATTCTCCTGGCTCAGCCTCCCAAATAGCTGAGATTATAGGTGCCTGCCACCACACCTGGCCAAATTTTGTATTTTTAGTAGAGACAGGGTTTGGCCATGTTGGCCAGGCTGGTCTCGAACTCCTGACCTCTAGTGATGGACCCACCTCAGCCTCCCAAAGTGCTGGGATTACAGGTGTAAGCCACCATGCATGGCCCACTTGTGTTGAAGTTTAATTAAGGGAAGCACCTGGTTTTTATAAAGCTACTCCATGCTCTGAGTGCACCACTGAAGTCCCATGAATCCCCCAGCACAGAGGGTTAAAGAGAGCCCACGGATTCCACAGGAGAAAAGACCCACCCCTTTCAGCCCAGGATCCATGACAGGCCCAAACTGGGTTAGACAGACCAGGAGTTCCTTAAAAATGCCAGGAAGTAACAGGTTTCAAAAACACTGTCAACTGAACAGCCCCATGTAAAAATTATACTTCCCTTCAAAAGTCCGCTCTCAACCCTCACCAACTCATGCCTGATGGTCTGCTGTGTATTACTTCCTCAGAGAGAGAAGCTACATTTAATTTTTTGCTGAAAAAAAATGAGTATTTTGCAATTGAGAAAATCCAGAGGCAACATCTAACAGGTTATTTTGGTAACAGAAACACTTTGAAATTTTATAAAATGTAAGTAAATCAAGTCATCTAACGGCCTGCATAATCATTATTCGCACTGAATGATACTGACAGAGTCTATTTAAGGAGTGCCCTTCCTAGCCAGCCCTAGCCCTAACTGTGCAGGCCCTGTCCACACTCCACTGTAAGCCTCAAAGGCCCACTGAGCAGCCTGGTTCCTCCAGTTTATCCAGCTGGAAACTGAGGTTCAAACAGGTTAAACGGGCTTCAAAATGCACAGTGTGGAGGTGGCAGATGCTGTGTTCAAACTACACACCGCCTCAGAGCCAGGATTTTTCCTGCTGCACCAGCTAAAATGTCACTGAAGCCAGTGCAGCAAGGACACGGTAAGGACAGGGTGGCATGCCTCACTCAGGAACACCTGAGCACCATGGAGTCCTCGGGATGAGCGAACGCCTGGCCTCGGCGTCTGCACTCCTTCTAGCCTGAGCTTGGGGCGAGTTACTTGTTCTTCCTTGGAGGCAGGCGTTCCATTATTTCTATCGTGTAGTACCGTGGTTTACAAATTGTTTAGACAGGCCGGGCGTGGTGGCACACATCTGGAATCCCAGCACTTTGGGAGGCCGAGGCAAGCGGATGACCTGAGGTCAGGAGTTTGAGATCAGCCAACATGGTGAAACCCTGTCTCTACTCAAAATACAAAAATTAGCTGGGCGTGGCGGGGGACACCTGCAATACCAGCTATGTGGAAGGCTGAGGCAGGAAAATTGCTTGAACCCAGGAGGCAGAGGTTGCAGTAAACCAAGATCGCACCATGGCACTCCAGCATGGGTGGCAGAATGAGATTGAAAAATACAAAAAAAAAAACAAAACAAAACTGTGTTTAAACCTCAGAAGGTTTGATGAAGGGCCTCAGATGCCACCGAAGGGGTAGGACTGGGTGGGGAGGAAGGGGGGAAGGTGAAGGGGAAGAGCTCCAGGTCCCCTAACTCAATTCATCTGAAACAGAGAAGCCCTGTATTTGTTCGGTTTGTTCTTTCCAAACGCACTGCTGATGGGGTGTATCATATTTCCACGGGCGGAAAATGTTAAGTGATCTGCATTTTACATTGTAATTTTATCATTTCTCCTATTTATTTTTATTTGAATGTGAGAAAATCATAATAATGTAGCCATCCACAGGCAGATTGCTTGAGCCTAGGAGTCCAAGACCAACCTGGGCAACATGGCGAAACCCCATTTCTAAAAGAAATACAAAAAAAATAGGCTGAGCATGGTGGCCCACGCCTGTGGTCCCAGCTACTGGGGGACTGAGGCTGGAGAATCACTTGAACCCAGGAGGCAGAGGTTGCAAAGCCTAGACTGCACCACTGCACTCCAGCGTGGGTGTCAGAGCCAGACCTTGTCTCAAAAAAAGAAAAATCAACATTTTACTAAGTAAATCTCAAAAATCATATCATCTCCTCCCTAAACATCTCAATAAGCGTTGCTAAAGAATGCAAACTTATTCTTTTAAATATATATATATTTATCACATATAAACATATATTTATCACATATAAACATATTGTTATATATTCATTCTCTATCCCTGTATGTAAGTAAAGATTTTAAAATTCTTACCTTGACTCTGGACGTAGATCTTACCCTTAGCATGCGGCTTTTGAAAGGAGGGGAGAAAGAAAAGAAAAGTACATTAGATAGTCCACAAGTGCTTTTCAGAAATAAAATGAAGGTCATTAACAACAACAAAAAAACCCTCCTGGAAAACAGAGAGCCATCTACACAGCTGCTCTGACTCATTACTCAGTAAGAGCAAAGCGTTACGTCTGCTGTTAATAGGTTTCGCCATTAAAAATACAGCATCGATAAGGTAAGAAGCACACACATACAAAAAGTCTCGTAAGTGAGGCTAATGCAGTTTTGCAATTTTTCAGTTGCTAGGTTAGTGGAGAGACGACTGAAGCTCAGCCAGCCAGGGAGCGTCGCCGGCCGAGGGTGCAGGTCCTGCCGCGGGGAGGTGGGAGTGTGGGGAAGCATGGTCTGGGTTACGCAGCCCTGAGGGGAAGAATACTCCCACTACCCCCAGAAAAAAGAAGAAAGAGGCAGGAGCAGAAGGAGGAACGGCCAAGATGTTGGGAAAGCAAAGAGGCCCCAGGAGGCGGATCCTTCCAGACAAGCCAGGACAGCCGGGTGGGAAGACCCGGTCAGAGCCTCCTCACAGGCCTCCCTGGCACCGAGGAAGAGGCGGGGCTTGCACGACGGATTTGCACATTTGTACCAAGATATCAACTTACTATTCCTTGTTGTGTTTTCTGCAGAATGTCACAAAACTGCCAGAGAGAAATGGAATCCATTTCTCCAGTTCATGTTGAAGCAGTGGCAGAAATATTTTTAAGATGACGTTTAGATGCCAGGAGTGAGACCCTCTTCAGAACGGCTGACGGGGCAAGTCAGTGCCAAGGGCGGTTTCTCTCAAGGAACTGAAATAGGCAGTCATTTTGGTGAAAGAATCCAAAAATGGACGTCTTTGTGTCATGTGACCTAAGCCTGATCAATGCATGAAATGAAGTGGCTAGGTCCCTGGAGGTCACACAAGTCACACCCCTGTCCTTTCTCAGTGTAGGCGTACAGTGTGGTCTTTTGGGTGCCAGGGAGCCCACGGCACTGCCTGAGGTACGCTGGTCCACTTTGGACATTGTCCCCACGTCAGGTTTATATTTTGGGACACAAGCTAAAGGTGAAACAGCCGTGCCCAAGGCGAGACCATCAACAGGAAGGAGACTGGCCCTCCCCAAGCCTGGGAAGGTTTGGCAGAGGCAGCACCCAGGCAGAAGGTGGGAGGCGGCAGGGCACGTGGCTCAGCCCTCTAATCCCAGCACTTTGGGAGGTTGAGTCGGGCAAATCATTTGAGGTCAGGAGGTCAAGACCAGTCTGGGCAACATGGTAAAATCCTATCTCTAACTAAAAATACAAACATTAGCGGAGCGTGGTGGCATGCGCCTATAGTCCCAGCAACTTGGGAGACTGAGGCAGGAGAATCGCTTGAACCTGGGAGATGGAGGTTGCCATGAACTGAGATTGCGCCACTGCACTCCAGCCTGGGCAACAAGAGTGAAACTCCATCTCAAAAATAAAAAAATAAATTAAAAAAGGAGGTGGTGGGGACACACGACACGGGGGTGGTGTTGGTTTTGTCCTTAGTGTCACATTTTGCATTTAGCTACTGGAAGCACCTCAAGCCTCCAAAAGTCTTGACTCCTCCGCAATTTACCCTTATTCCTCCGTAAGCAAGCGGGTATGCGTGCCATTCCAAATGCCCTTGAAATAGTAAACCTTTGAGAGTTTCAAGAACCTCTTCTCTACCAATTAAAAAAGATATTAACTTTAACGAAAAAAAAGGGGCTAAAAGCAGCCATTTGAAAATAGAAATTGCAGTTCAGAGCCCTAAGCTATTCCTTTCCTGAATTATGATTTCCCTGGAAAGCTGGAAGAGACGTTACCGGAGGGCAGCAGCGGCTCGGTCTTCTTCCTGAACCAGCCCTGTGTCCAAAACACTCGCGTGGAAGCACCTTTAAAGTGGATGTTGAAGCACTCACAATAGAACAGCATGGCATCTAACTTTCTTTTCTTCTTCTTTTTTTTTTTTCTTGAGACGGAGTTTTGCTCTTGTTGCCCAGGCTGTTGTACAGTGGCTGATCTCAGCTCACTGCAGCCTCTGCCTCCTGGGTTCAGGCCGTTCCCCTGCCTCAGCCTCCCGAGCAGCCGGGATTACAGGCATGCACCACCATGCCCAGCTAATTTTGTATTTTTTAGTAGAGACAGAGTTTCTCCATGTTGGTCAGGATGGTCTCAAACTCCTGTCCTAAGGTGATCCGCCCACATCGGCTTCCTATACAGTTTATAGTCTTCGTCATTATTTTAATTGGAAATATGCTCTGCAATTAGCAATATGTAAACTAAAATGTTGCTGTCAAGAAACTTCTTTTTCCACCAAAAAAAAAAAGAGAAAAAAATGAGTTAAACTTGTGTCTCAGCTCTGTAAGCAGAAGGAATTGACTGAATGTGAAGATTTCTCGACTTATCTGCTGATCTTCTCATATCTCTGAGCATGACTTTGCTAAAATCAATTGAAAAGCATTTTTAAATGGCATTTTAAGGTCTCATCCAGGCAAACAGGAAACAGAGCTACAGTAGGAAAGAAGTCTGGACCTGAGTTATTTTTAATCATTGCAATAAAAGAAATCTGGCAAAAGACAATTGGCTTATATTGATTTTGAAAACATTTTCTATATGAAAGTGTTACAAATTAGCTTTCTTTGCTCCATATTTATTACTGTTCTATCCGCCTCAAAATAACAGGAGTCAAAGTCCCTGGGTACCGCCTGCCTTGCAGACTAGCTCATCAGTGCACACAATGGCAAACACTGAGGTATGTCTATGAGCAACTGCTACCTCTTTGGCTCATTACTGGATATAAAAAGCCAGGATCCTATTGGATAGATAGCCATGAATAGATGGACTTCTAACAGACCCAAGGGCTAACTGATATCTTTTCATGCTGGAATAACATCAACAAAACAACTTCCCTCCCATTCTTTGGCTAAATATAACCCAGAGATTCACCTTCTAAAGTTAAACTTTCTGCAAATGGAAGCCACAATAGATTGTTTTTGAAAAACAGGCAAAATTTTATGTTCTACAGATGGCAAAAATAGTAATTTTTGTTCTGAAATTATAATACGACTTCAGATTGTGGCTTTGTTAAAACTACTTGTAAAACAATTACAAATTGCTTAAAAGAAACGATGGTTCATACATATAAAGTTACAAAACATATGTATGCCACGCAACACATAGAAATTGGGCACTTTTCAAGGATACAGTGTCTTTTTTCCTCCCTCTACTCTCTTCCCGTAGAAATCTGTTATCATGCATAAAAAAAAGAAAGTAATATTCAAAAGATGGGGAAATTCAGCCTTGTCACTGAACTCCTGCGGTGGAACCAAAGAACAATTTTTCTTTTCTTTTTTTTTCTAGGAAGTACTTTAATCATTTTTCTTAGAAAAAAACATTTCCAGAAACTAACACTTCACAACATTTTAACAACAAAGAAAGAGGTTTTCAAGAGTTGGGATTCTAGAATATTAGGAAGACATGTTGGTATCCTGCTTCATTACAGATGGATGGCACAGATCAGAAATAGAAGACTGGCTGCAAAGCCAACATCAGAGCCCAGTGGGACGACACTTCCATCTACAGTGTTTCTCTTCCTTCCTGCTGTCCTCCCTGTCCCACAGAAACGCCAGCCACCATACAGAGCCCAGTGGCACATAGCTTGGCTGCCCATCTTCCCCCTTGGGTAGGAGAACAATGTTTCCAAAAAAAGAGAACATACATGGGTGAGATGAGAAAGAACTGTTAAAACTAGACTGGGATAGGATTCTATCGGGTCCAACATGGAGCAGACATAGAGATGAAATTAACACAATCCGGCTGGGTGTGGGGGCTCACACCTGCAATCCCAGCACTTTGAGAGGCTGAGGAGGGTGCATCACTTGAGGCAGGAGTTCGAGACCAGCCTGGCCAACATGGTGTAACCCTGTGTCTACTAAAAATACAAAAATTAGCCAGGTGTGGGGGCAGTGCCTATAATCCCAGTCACCTGGGAGGCTGAGGCAGGGGAATTGCTGGAACCCAGGAAGCGGAGGTGCAGTGAGCTGAGACCGTGCCACTGCACTCCAGCGTGGGTGACAGAGCAAGACTCTTCTCAAAAATAAATAGCTAAATAAATAAAAATAAAACAATCCAGGACCCTGCACAAAATCAAGGGATGACAGTGTGGCACCCAATCTAGTGGGGCGACTCAGGAAACGGGAACATCAACAGGAAAGTTTCAGAGAAGATTTTTGTTTTTTAAAACAATTAAATGTATGGAGTAAACAATTCAGAATGACTGCTGATTTTATTCAGAAGATTCCCCTACCATCCTCTGCCTTGGCAATTTAATGAATTAGAAACAATACTTGTGATGGTGCCTCACATTTGAGCCCCGGGTCATGGAAAAGGTAAACTAAAGATCTATGCTGTGGAATGGAGGCGTTTTTCATACGCTTAAGTTCCTTTACAATAGCAAAGACCTGGAACCAACCCAAATGCCCATCGATGATAGACTGGACAGGGAAAATGTGGTACATATACACCATGGAATATTATGCAGCCATCAAAAACGATGAGTTCCTGTCCTTTGTAGGGACTTGGATGGACCTGGAAACCATCATTCTCAGCAAACTGACAGAAGAGCAGAAAATTAAACACCGCATGTTCTCACTCATAGGCAGGTGTTGAACAATGAGAACACATGGACACAGGGAGGGGAGCATCACACACTGGGGTCTGTTGCGGGGGAAATAGGGGAGGGACAGCAGGGGGTGGGGAGTTGGGGAGTGATAACATGGGGAGAAATACCAGATATAGGTGAAGGGGAGGAAGGCAGCAAATCACACTGCCATGTGTGTACCTATGCAACAATCTTGCATGTTCTTCACATGTACCCCAAAACCTAAATGCAATTAAAAAAAAAAATTCTCAATTCCCAGGGATCTCACATGGGACAAAAAAAACAGACATAAAGCACATTCGCAGTTGCATCAGGAAGTCTCCAATGAAGGCTCACCTTCATAGAAGCTATTAAAAATGACTGGCTTCCTGGGACATGATCAATCCCTGGAGCCTCTCCTGCAGAGGTAAGAGGGTTAGCACACACACGAGGCAGTCTAGAGGTGAAACCGTGTGCTGAGCGCGTTTTTATTTTTCCAGAAGGGTGGAAACTGTAATAAAAGGTGGTCTGTGTCGTTTCAGCTGCTGCCACGATGAATTTCGGAGGTAATCAGACACAGAGCAGTGGGCCACGCAGGAAGAGGGAGGAGTCGTGAGTATCTCAAACACAACATGCCCCTACCGCAGACTCCAGCGGGGAGTGGGCAAGCAGCTCATTCCAATTAGGCCAGCACTAACATCCCAACTGACTTTTGAGCTCACCTGTATAGGACTGCACGTGTGACAGCCAGTGAGATCTGTCTTGCTTTCTATATTTTAATTTCCAAAAGAATTTTGATGAGTAAATATACACAAAGTAAAATTACCCTTTAGGTATTGCCTAACACAACAACTTCAGGAAGTCACTTTTCTTTAACAAGTGCCAAGGCAAAGTGGGTAAGTCAGGCCCCAGAGGTGGTGACCCAAAGTTTCCAGGAAAAAACAAAAACAAAAACCTCACTATAAAGATAACACTTGAAAACTTAGCTCATTGCTTGTAAAGCTTATTGATGCGCCATTATGACTGGCATTGTGCTTTTTTTTTTTTTAATTTGATAACTGCTTCAAGCAATATTTACTCAAACAGGATTTTTAAAATATAGCTTATAAATAAGTATTTCAGTTTAGATAACGTCCTCTTAGAAGAAAGCTTATTGGGAAGAGCGTGAAACAGGCATGAGGGGTTCTGAACCCAATGGAGATGTATTAAACCATAATCACTGCTTCTCCTGGTAAAACTCTCCATTAGGATATACATTTAATTTGTTCATCTTTTTTTTTCTTTTTGGTGAAATTTTTACATTTTCTGGTGAAATTCTGTTTTAGATAAAGCACCCTAAACTTGGACTAGAACTAGAAGTACTCATTTGCATTCTGAATATCTCTTACATATTGTAACAATAAATCAAAATCCTACAGAAGACACTTTCAAACTTTCCACAATGTGTATCTCACGATCAGAAATGTGCAGCGAATCAAATTCTTGAAAATGTCAAATCGATATTATAATATCAGAAAGCGACCAGCACAGAGGCTCACGCCTGTAATCCTGACATTTTAGGAGGCTGAAGCAGGAGAGCTACTTGAGGCCAGGGGTTCAAGAGCAGCCTGGGCAACACAGTGAGACCTCATCTCTACAAAAAATAAAAACTAAAACTTTCAGCCAGGTGTGGTGGCATGGGCCCATGGTCTCAGCTACTTGGGAGGCTGAGGGAGAGGATCGCTTGAGCCCGGGAGTTTGAGGCTGCAGTAAGCCATGATCATGTCACTGTACTCCATCCAGCCTGGGCAACACAGTGAGACACCTTTACCAAAGAAAAAAAAGACACTTAAAAGACATATTCTAATATCACAAACCAACACAGTAATGCCATCCCAAAAAAATGACCCACATTGATCACGAGTGCCAGGCACTAACAGCGTACCATGCTGACCTTGTGGGAGCCCACCGGGGTTGTACGTTTTACAAAGTAGATACAATGTCAAATTAAGGCTGGTACAAACAACACTAAAAAATAATGACTTGAGCATAAACAAAGGCATTTCAAATTAAAAGAGATAAAATACAACCATCTTTATTGAAATCCAATCAAACTAATTCGTGAAGAGTCAGCCAGAGATGGGTAGGCAATCACAAACCCAGCTCCCAACACAACGTTTGCATAAGAGCACCCAGAGGCTGACGTTCACTCGTGGGTTACAAACTCACCCTCATTTGGCACATGTCTGTTCACGTGTCGTCCACGATCAGATGCCATGTGAGTGAGTGTTTCAGAAATCCTGAAACAGAGCTCTCCTGAGCAACACGACAGAACCCCCCGCCACCACACGCGGGTGATCTAGGGCACGTGCAAGGCAGCTGGTTTGAAATCAGATGCGCTGTGAGTGTCAAATACACACTGGATTTCAAAGACTTCATACAAAAAAAGGTAAAGTATGTCACTAGTAACTTTCATATTGATGACCTGTTGAGATAATATTTTGGAATATAGTGAGTGTGTCGTAGGAAATTTGACCTTGACCAAAGAGAGACATGACCTGCACCCTTAGCTTCTGGGAAATGTCAAATCCAAATCTGATGGCCGGGTGCGGTGGCCCATGCCTGTCATCCTAGCACTTTGGGAGGCCGAGGAGGACAGATCACTTGAGGTCAGGCGTTCAAGACCAGCCTGGCCAACGAGGCAAAACCCTGTCTCTACTAAAAAAACAACAACAGCATGTGTTCAAAGGTTAATATTTGAAAAGCTAATACTTTGTATTTCTCATCAAGGACATTTCTAAGTGAAACTGGCTTAAGTGGGTGGCGGTGACTAATCAGCGAATATTGGCACAGATAATTAGCACCGATAATTAGCACAGATGGGGCCCCTGCCCTCATCAGCATTAAGGCAGCGGCGCCTTTACTCATCATTGCATTTTACACCATGAGGAAAGCCAAAAGAAAGCCTTTGCATTATTATTTGAAAAAGGCTTGACTTGGTGGAGGCCCTGAAAGAGTCCCAGGGAACCTCAGAGGTCCAGGGACCCCATTTTGGTAACCACTTGTTCGAAAAACTACCTTAAGAAGTCAGACAGATAGCCCAACAGGTAGGCCTGGCAAGGCGGCTCACGCCTGTAGCCCCAGCACTTTGGGAGGCCGTGGTGGGTGGATCACTTGAGGTCAGGTGTTTGAGACCAGCCTGGCCAACATGGTGAAACCCTATGTCTACTAAAAATACAAAAATTAGCTGGGCGTGGTGGTGCTTGCCTGTAATCCCAGCTACTCAGGAGGCTGAGGCAGAAGAATCGCTTGAACCCAGGGGGCAGAGGTTAGAGTGAGCTGAGATCGCACCACTGCACTCCAGCCTGGGTGACAGAGTGAGACTGCAGACAGGTACCACAATAAAACTAGAAGCCAGGATGCCTGTTGAGTTTTCTGATTCTGAGATTGACAAGTCATTAAACTGCACTAGCAAATACAGCCTCCATGCTCTGCCTGGGAAAAGTCTGACAAAACGGTTAAGACTCTGCGCGGTCAACGCGTGTGCAGCTTCACATTCACATGTGTCTAGCATCCTGAGCTTTCGGAAGACACCACGGAGGACTCAGCTCTCCCTTGCCCCAGTGCAGCAGTTTCCACCCCCACCATTCTGCAAATTGCAATTCCATAAAGAATGGGCAGAGCCTGCACATGATCAGGGCATAAGCCCTGTTTCCTGGTCCCTCCAACCAACAGGAATAACGCCTGCAAAAGATCCGAGCACACGCACTGCGCACAGTGGATGAGCTGGGGGAACACAAGCACTAGCAAGGCTGGTAGAGCAGGCTCAAAGCAGTTCCCACCACCGGAGACAGCAGCCTTGCCTGCCTGAGGAAACTGGCCTTTAGGTTTTTTCTTAGTTTTGCAGGCAGCAGCTCTGTGGTGCATTCACAGAGCTCCTTACTGAGAACTCAGCTGGGCTCCCACCGGCTCATACACCTGCCTTCTAAGTCACCGTGAATACAAAGTCAATAATTGAATTAACTTGTTGATCTACAAACTCCTGACTGTTTAAAGCTCTTTCCAATAAACAGTCCAACCCAGGAAATGACCTCTGCCACCTAACAGATAGTTTCTTTTATGTGCACAAGGTTGCTGCAACATTTATAGTGCAGCTGAGAAATCACCCGATCTGAGAACATTAAAAAAAAAAAAAAAAAAACAGGGCCAAGCACAGTGGCTCACACCTGTAATCCCAGCACTTTGGGAGACCGAGGCAGGCAGATCATCTGGGGTCAGTAGTTCCAACCAGCCTGATCAACATGGTGAACCCTATCTCTACGAAAATACAAAAAAATTAGCTGGGCGTGGTGGCACATGTCTGTAGACCCAGCTACTCAGGAGGCTGAAGCAAGAGAATCACTTGAACCTGGGAAGTGGAGGTTACAGTGAGCCGTGATCACGCCACTGCACTCCAGACTGGGCGAAAGAGCAACACTTTGTCTCCAAAAAAAAAAAAAAAAAAGAAAAGAAAACAGACAACACATCAAAAGATTTGGCTACTGGGCTATTTCTGTCATTCAGTAACAATATCGAAAACTATCCGGGATGTTTTAGGAGCATCTACACATACGAAATCAACCTATAGGAAACATAATACACTACTGTGGCCACAACAGGCATTTTCCATGGGAACACTGTCAGCTCTAACAGGACTGCCTTTCGGTTCTCCAATTCTGCAATTTCACCAGCACAACCACAACAGTACCACCAGATAAATACATACCCACTGCGCTTGTGCCATTTCCTTCATTGACTCTGTGAAAGCGACAGCAAATCTAGTAAACGAACAAAAATAATACAAACAATTAGGCCAGAATTCAATTAAAGGAACTATGAAACAGCTCCTTGGAACAAATTATGAGAGACAAGGTAAGACACTACATTTAAAATGCAATCAATCTTTATTACTTGTGGTCATTGGCCATTAGGTTTAATCTCAACTCGCATCAAAAAAAAAAAAAAAGTTGTATGTGCAAGAAGTAAACCAAATGAAGCTCAAAACTTCCTACTTTTTCTTTTCCTTCCACGCAAGTTCAGAGAGGCAGGGATAAAATCAAAAGCAAGAAATCAAGATGCAGGAGAGAAGCAAGGCACTAGCTTGGTTGATTCACCTGAACAGTCAAAGGCTGTCCGTCCGCTCCACTGGCTCTGCTAAGGGCAGACGATGGGGACACAATCACAATTTACTGAGTACACATGGGTGCTCAATGCTATCATCTCCCTCATTTCAATTGCTTCCTTAGGAAATGCACAAGCGCCCTCAAAACTAAGAACATGCTCAATGCAGCCTCAAACTCCTGGGCTTAAGTCATCCTCCTTCCTCGGACTCCTAAGTAGCTGGGGCCACACCACACCTAGCTAATTTTGTTGTGTTTGCCATGAAGTACAGGAGTTTTCATAGACACTTTTACAGGGACATGTGGAGCACATTCTTAGCTGGGAAGTTCCAATACTATCAAAATGTCCATTTTTATCAAATTACATGACAAAATCAATAATCCAAATCCGTAAGTGAATTTCCATTGAAATCTGACAAAATAATTTTAAAGTTTACCTATACATATAATTGGGTGTCAAGCAATCAGAAAATTTTTGATTAAGAAGAATTCAGGCCAGGCCCAGTGGCTCACACTTGTAATCCCAATACTTCGGGAGGCTGAGGCAGGAAGATCACTTGAGCCCAGGCATTCAAGACCAGCTTGGTCAATATAGGGAGAGCCCGTCTCTACAGAAAAAAAAATGTTTTTTAATCAGCCAGGTGTGGTTGAGAACACTTTTAGTCCCAGCTACTCAGGAGGCTGAGGCAGGAGGATCACTTGAGCCTGGGATGTCAAGACTGCACTGAGCCGTGGTTGTGCCACTGCACTCCAGTTTGGGTGACAGAGGAAGAAGAAAGAAGAAAGAAGGAAGAAGGAGAAGAAGGAGGAGGAGGAGGAGAAGGGGGGGAAAGACGAAGAGGAAGAGGAGGAGGAAGAAGAATTCAAAGATGAGACCTGTATTAACAGATATCAAAACACATTAAAAATATGATAATTACAACAGTGTTGGCAGTGAAGAAAAGATGGATCAAAACCAAACACAAGGCCAGAAACAGACCCAAATACAGTTCAGAATTTGACATAGCACTAAGTCAGAGAAGTGGTGAAGTACATGGAAAAAGTTAGTTTCCTACCGTATATCACAGATCCAAAAAGGTGATTCATGAGCTAAGTAAAAAAAGGTAAGACTAAAGGAAGTCCAGAATGACACACGTGAACAAGCAGCTGGCCTCGGCCTGGGAAAGGCTTTCTGTGCCTCAGAAGCTATGAAACTACTGGGTACCACAGGCAGGGTACGAAAAAGAGAAAGAAAAAGCTATGAAATTAATTCTAAAGATAAAAAAAAAGCTATGTTATGTTAAAATTAAAAGACTACTGAAATACCACAAATGTGCAATTGACATGGAAAAAACAGGAATATTATCCTTACTCAGGAGTTCTTCAAAATTAACAAGAAAGTCAGACAGCCCAAGGGAAACAAAAGGGAATGGTAACAATGGGACAGTCATAGGAGGGCAAATACAAGGACCACAAATGGAGGAAAAGTGAAATTTCTCTAATAAAGCAAAGCTAATCAGAATGATAGGAAAGCATTGCAACACACAGAAGACTGGCAGTTTGAAAAATAAAAATGCCCAATGCTGACAAAGGTGAGAAAATGAAAACATACACCTACTTGGTGAATTAAAATGCAAATATTCTTTCTGAAGAGAAATTTGAGAAACTGCATCAATATATTAGTATGTTCATATGGTTAGACCTTGCAATTCTACTTCTATAAATTCAACCTAAAGAAGCAATCAGACAAGTGCACAAAGACAGAAACTGATTGTTCTCTGTGGTGCTGTTTATAATAAAGATATAAACGTCCGATCTCGAAGAATCGGTTACAGAATTTATGATAGAATTCTATGCAGCCATCAAAACCATGTTTGGCACCTTAAAATTTTCAAAAATGTTCACGATGTTTTGTTAAATAAAACAGGTAGCATGCATCCACACACATAATCAAAGTACCAGAAAGAAAGGAGAGAAACAGAAAAAAGTATTAAAGGAAATAATGGCCAAAAAGTTCCCAAATGTGATGAAAAACTTTAATCTACACTAATTCAAGCTCAGTGAATTTCAAGTAAGATAAATTCAAAGAGATTTATACCCAGACATATCATGGTCAAAATGTTGAATGCCAAAACAATGAGAAAATCCTGAAAACAACCTAAGAAAATGACTCATCACTTATAAGAAACTGCAGTGAGCTCAACAGCTGACTTAACAGAAACAATGGAGGCCAGAAGGGAATGAATGAGATACCTGCTTAAACTATTGAAGGAAAAAAACAAGATTGTCAACCAAGAATTCCACACCCAAGCTGGGCGCAGTGGCTCACACCTGTAATTCCAGCACTTTGGGAGGTCGAAGCCCATGGATCACTTCAGGTCAAGAGTTCAAGGCCAGCCTGACCAACCTGGTGAAACTCCACCTCAACTAAAAATACAAAAATATTAGCTGGGCGTGATGGCAGGTGCCTGTAATCCCAACTACTCAGGAGGTTGAGGTAGGAGAATTGCTTGAATCTGGGAGGCAGAGGTTGCAGTGAGCCAAGATCATGCCACTGCACTCCAGCCCAAGCGACAGGAGACTCCATCTCAAAAAAAAAAAAAAAAAAAAAAGAAGAAGAAGAAGAATTTCATGTCCAGCAAAATTATATTTTTCCTGTTTTTTTAAAAATTTTTATGGATACATAATTGTTTTACATATATATCAGGTGCATGTGATATTTTGATATCACATGTGTATGAACAAATCATGGGTGACTGGACGACCCATTACCTCAAACATTTATCATTTCTTTGTGTTGGGAACATGCCAAATCTTCTCCAATTATTTTGAAATATATGATAAATTACTGCTAACTGTAGTCACTTGATTGTGCTTCCAACCGCTGGATCTTGCTCCGCTGCATAGCTGTATTTTTGTACCCATTAACCGTCCCTCTTAATTCCCTCTTCCCACAACCCCTCCCAGCATTCCAGATAAATAAAATAAGTAGCTTAAAAAGCGTGTGTGTCATTCCACCCAAATTTTCAAAAATAATAACAATAAAAATAAAAATATTGTCACAAACACACAAATATAAGTAATTAAAAGATCACCTAACAAAAAGCTAGCCATGGTTAAAGTACACATAAAGTTCAAAGGGAATTTGCTTTTCCCTGGCTTCTTCAGTACTTTTCAAAATTTCTACTGCATTGGGACAGCCATTTTTTTGGTTAGAAAGAAAATTCTTAACAAAACATTTTATGACATCAGGACTTCCAATCTTTCAAGACTTCCTGTAGATGATATCCATTCTCCTATCTTTCTTCCATATCATTATATCCCCTCTACCCATTATAAAAATGCTATTGTTTTTCTTACCTTAAAAATGACTCTCTTAATCCCATAGTCCCTGCTTCAATTACTGCCCTTTTTCTCTTTTCTCCTCGACAAAAAAAGCCGTGGTGTTACCTTGACTCAACGCCTCCAATGCGTCTCTTCTCATTTAAACCGCTCCAGGCAGCCCCCCTGACTGCACCATTGAAACTGCTCCCAAGGTCGCTAACGACGCCCATGTTGGTAAGCTGAATGGTTCAATCCTCAGTCTTCATCTTACTTGACCTATCCGCAGCAGCAGACACGTAGGATCTCTCCTTCCTCCTTGGAATGCTGCTCCATTGGTTTCCACCATACTGTTTCATTTCATCTAATGGCTACTCAGTCTCAGTCTCACTAATTTCTCTCTCTGATTTCTCAAAAGTGGAATGCTCCAAGACTCAGTTCTTGACTTCTTTTCTCTGCACTTACTCTCTTGGTGACCTTGCCAGTTTTCAGTTTTCAACAGCATGTGTATATTGACCAACAAACTGACCCTCCCCTGACTTGCCCACACTTCTACCTACTTCCTACCTCCATGCAGATGCCTCATACAAACCTTAAGCTTCATAACAATGTCAAATAATAAGAACCATATTTTTAGTGAAGAAATAGATATACACATAATTGTATATATGTACATACATTTCCAAGCTCTGTCTACTACGAAGGCTTACAAGAAATGATACTGAGTAAGCAATAAGCATGATCTTCATTTCTAAATAACATTCTCTAAAAAGCAAAAAAATATAAAGAAACCAGGAATCCTTTGAGAAAGAGCCACTTCCAGAAATAGGACAAGGGAGACAGGAGATGAATCAGAAACATTTTATGATGCCAGAAAGAAGAAATGTCCTCAGAAAAGAATGAGAGCATGTCAAAAGAACACAGGCATCAGCTCAAAGCATCTCCCATGGCAAATCTGGAACAATCTGAGCACCCAAATAAACAAAATTAGTAAGAGGTAACCTACAAAGGAAAATAAAATAAATACCATGAGTCCATGGTGTGTGTGTGTGTGTGTGTGTGTGTATTATTATTTTTTTTTTTTGAGATAGAGTCTCACTCTGTCACCCAGGCTGGAGTGCAGTGGTACCATCTCAGCTCACTGTAACCTCTGCCCCCTAGGTTACAGCAACTGTCCTGCCTCAGCCTCCTGAGTAGCTAGGATTACAGGCACGTGCCACCACGACCAGCTAATTTTTTTTTTCTTTAACTTTTAGTACAGATAGAGTTTCACTATGTTGGCCAGGCTGGTCTCGAACTCCTGGTCTCAAATGATCCACCCAATTCAGCCTCCCAAAGTGCTGTGATTACAGGCATGA